ATATATATATATATATATATATATATATATATATATAAACACACACAGAGGGAGAGGAATTTACCTCACAAAAAAGGTTTCACAAATCACAATTTGGGTTTGAAAGATTCTGCTACTATTGTAGAATAACCAAATCTAAGTTTAACAAGTTTAAACAGGGTCACGTTTAAGCTAACGCAGTATAAAAGAAGGTAAAGTGAGACTTCAGTAATCTGCTAAACCGTAAACAAACTTCTCCTGTGTGTGGATTTATTATTTCAGTAAAACATGACAAAAATATTTCGCATCGCATTTTATACGAGGAGCACAGCAGGTAGGAGAACTTTGTGATGTTTAGTTAGCGTAGCATTGCGTTAAGCTTCAAAGCACAACCGTTAGGTTGCTAACATAAGCTAGCTGCTGCTATGAAGAAGGGTTAAATATATATTTTCTTATTACCTCTTGCTGATACATCCCAGTGTGATGTATTGTCGGGTTACTCAAAAAATTAAACAGAACATTAACAAAAGATGTAAAAGACCAAAAATACAGTTTATTTTAAGAAATCGTCACCTGTTTCAACTACTAGTTGCTAGCAGATTTGTTTTGGTCTTAAAGTCACGTTTTGAGATACCGCGAGATTACCGTGCATTCCATAAAAGGCTGGCGTTTAGTTTTTCTTACTCATGTTCTGAAATCTCTGAAGCCTCAAATGAAAAACTAAATAAAACAAACAAACAATAAACGTATCATTTTATTAAATTTATTCCTGACATTTCATATAATGCAGTTGAATAATTTTTTCTTAGAATCTATTTATTTAATTTATTGTATATAAAAATAAATCTACAGACGGCTAAATATTTTAGCCCTTTAGGATCAGATAACAGATCAAACATTTAAGGAACACACAAAACATACAAAAATTCCAAGGATTAACAAATAAATAACCCCAACATTAGGGCTTTGTCTAAAGAATAAGTAAACACATAATTGGTCCATTTCAAAATAACTCCTCCAGTTTTTGCTTTTTAAAGCAAACCGTTGACAAAAGTGCCGCTATAAAGGAAGGTGTGCCTAACAGAGGCACTGTCTAATAAATAAAAATATAAATAAAGTTGAATAAATAAAAATGCAAAAGCAAAATGGACAAAAATTGAATAAGAAAAAACACAAAATAAACTAGAAATTTGTTAAAACCTAAGAGGTTGGGAAAAAAATTCTAACTGCAAATAAAAAAAAAAAACCCTCACTATTAAAATATAAATAAATTATCACTGTTTTAACTTGAGGAGCTTCTCCAGAAAGTCCAAAGCCTGCTGGATTTCTTCTGGTGTCAGCTCGGTGAGCTCATCAGGATGTAATCTCTTCTTCCAGTTTGCCGTGTCTGCGTTGCTGGCCTGGCCTGCAGCATTGTGGATGTCCTGGATCCTGGTTTGCAGCCACTCCCGGCGCTCCTGCACCTGCTGATGGTGTCTCAGGTTGTGCATCAGCTGCACTTCACTCACTGTCCTTTTACTACAGAATGATCAAAACATTCAATTCAATTCAACATTCAATTAATCATAACACCACAAAAAGTTTAATACTGTCTTCGATAATGTGGATGTGAGTGGGAAATTACCTTAGGGGACG